TCTGCTTTCAAGCCCCGCCCCGGCCGGGCTCGGTGACTGTACCCGCAGCCCCGGCCCTAGGCGCGAGCTGAGGCCGCGGACGGGCCCCTGCGAGGACCGAGAGGCGAACTTGTTTAGGGTGGGCAGGGGGAGAGGGTTGCGACCGGTCCCGGCCAGTGTGTGTGCAGAGTCTGCACCCGGGATGGAGAGTGAGCGTTCCGGCAATGTCCTGCCGGGACCCCCTTCCCCCCTGGTCAGCCGAGGGCCCGCCACCAGCTCCCTGATGACCCGAGGCACCCAGGGCCGCGGGGATTGAATGCAATCTCAAGTCCAGGCTCAGGCTGGACTCCGTCCGGAAAGATGTTTCAGGCCAAAGCCGGGCTCCTTGGAGTATTGCCCGGGCAGGGATCGGAACGCCAGGCCATGCGCTGGCCCTGGGACCAGACAGTGGAGACACCTCATTGTGAAACACCTCATTGTGAGGCTGCCCCAGGGCCAGCCCCGCGAAGCTTGATATCAGGTGGGAGGTTGGAGAGACACAGAAGGGATAGAAAGAGACCGAGAGGGACACACAGATAAAGAGCTACCCAGGACCCAGGACGGGCCGGAGAGGCAGACTAGGGCAGGAGAGGCCAGGCCTCCGGGCGGGTTCTGAGGCGGGGGGCGCGCAGGATAGAAGCCCAGGCTCAGACGCGGCCAGCCAGGAAGGAGAAGTTCCCGCCGCGAGCCCTCGCGTCCCCTCGGAGGAGCTGGGGGCTGGTGGGAGAGGGCGAGCCCCTGGACTGCGCCCCAGCGGCCTCCGGCGTGGACGTGTGGCATCTCAGGGAGTCCAGGGCCTGCGTCCCCCTCTCACTGGCCCCGATGCCCGCGCCTCTGCACTGCGGCCACTACCTGCTGTGGGCCGCGGGCCTGGGCCGCGCTGGGCCTCTCTGGGAGACTTGCGGCAGCCTCTGGGCCGTCTCTGCCTGGCTCGCTGCGTCCCTCCTGGTCGCAGCTTGGCCCGCTGTGGGGCTCTCCTGCTCGCGGACCCTGGTGTACGCCTCCCCGCGCGTCCAGCTGCAGCGTCTTGTTCTCAAAGGCGTCCTCCAGGCAGCGGAAGACTCCGCCGAGCTTCGGCCGGCCCAGGCCTTCCTGTGCCCCGCATCCCCGGGCACGCGGGCAGAGCCTCTGCTGGCTCCAGCGGCCGCCGTCCTGCCACGGCGGGAGCCGGCGAGGGGCGGCGGTTCCTGGAGCCTCCTGTGGCGGGGTCTGCGAGTTCTCGTGGACTGGGCGGAGCCGGGCCTGGCACCCCCCCCCACCAGCCCCCGAGCCCTCTCCCCACCCCTCAGCCCGGCCTGGCGTCAGCGCGGAGCTGGCGCTGTCCACGCAGGGGAGTGCTGAACGCTCCGGATCTGGGCCGAGGGCGCGCGTTCTGTCCCAGCGAAGCTCCGCAGCTTGCCCCCGGGGCAAACCGGGGTTCTGACCTCCCGCTCAACCCGCAGAAGGGCAGGCGGGGACCACGCACGGAAGAAACCACAGTTTTTCGGAACTCCAGCCACATTTTCAGGCCCTGTGGGTGATCTCACGTCAGGGAAGGAGGCTCTGACTCTGAAACATTTGGCGAGTTGGGAGGGCCAGGGCGGGGGAGGGGGGGGAGGGAATGCGCCCACGGGAGCTGCTCCTGACTGCCCTTAGAAACAAGTTCAGGGCTTCCCTGGTGGCGCAGTGGTTAGGAATCGGCCTGCCAATGCAGGGGGCACGGGTTCGAGCAGGGGAACAGGGGACATGTGGTCTGGGAAGATCCCACATGCCGCGGAGCAGCTAAGCCCATGCGCTGAGCCTGTGCTCTAGAGCCCGCGAGCCACAACTACTGAAGCCCGCGCGCCTAGAGCCCGTGCTCTGCAACGAGAAGCCACCGTAATGAGAAGCCCGCGCACCACAACGAAGAGTAGCCCCCACTCGCCATAACTAAAGAAAACCCGCGCGCAGCAACGAAGACCCAATGCAGCCAAAATTAAAATTAATTAATTTAAAAAATGTTCAAGGTTTGGAGTGAGACACAGTAGGAGGACTCTCAGCCCACCCAGAGTCATAGGGCGATGCTGTCACTCAGTCGAGCCCTGCAGGGACTGTCTTTTAAGGAAAAGACATCCCAACCTTTCCGTTCTGTTAGTGCAGCCGGAATTTCAAAGCGTAAGTTGGGACAGTGAGAGTCAGTGCGAGGACACTCCAGTACTGGCTGGCATAAGAACACCTGCAGAGCTAAATCATCACTTTCCCATCCCCTTGTCCCGGTCCCACCTTGGTTTTCCACTCCCCCAAAGAGATCAAACAGGATTTAATCACCTGTGTGGGATCACTGTGACTAAAATGTGTTCTTATTCATTCACAGAAATTCTTTCACCATTCTCAGTGGTTTGACTTTTCTATTCTGGTTCTCATTTGACAAACAGCTACAGGAGCAGTCCTCCCTGGTGGCTGACCTCAGCCGGGTGCTGCCAGGACCTCTGATTTCAGAGCCTGTCCTCCAGAAGACTCCCCATGACTTCGGATGAGGCTGTGTGTGAGATGCCCGGCACCCCCTCCCTAGTGAGCAGAAGGCCCAAGTTCCCTTGCTGGTGTGGAAAGAGGCACATTGTCGTTCAGAGCGTGGACACGGAGCGCAGAAGTGGCTAACAGCCGATACGTCCAAACTTTAGTACCTTGTGAGGAGAACTTGGATATTCTAAGACTTAAAACAACCTTTTATTAAAAACTGTACAATAACTTACAAATGAGTAAAAATTCTCTGGTACATATCATAGGAATCACAATACAAAAATATGTGTAAAATTTTGTAGTTGATCACCATACAAACCTATTTTAGGCCTCTGAATACTGTTTAGCACTGAACAGAGTCATCAGGTGTTTAGAGTGTGGTTATTAAGGAATTGCTTCAGGGAACACAAATACTGCCTGGCGCATTGCTGTGAGAAAACAAGTCCTCATTTGTTTCTGCATAAATTTACAATAAAGCTTTTTACAAATATACAGTAAACAAATATATGACTTGATACATAATTTACAGCTTGATTTTCCTGAGCCTAAACGTAAATCCATTACTGTGTTAAAACACACAATCCATCTTAAGGTCAATGATGCAGTAATGGTCAGTGTAGGTTAATGTCACAGCGCCTCCAAACCCACCCCCGGCACACCCTCCTTCCTGACTGCCAGAGTTGGTGTTCACAGCCCTGTAAGGCACTCGGGGCGTCCTGAAGGATACAGCTTCCTCGAGGGCAGAGCCCTTTAAGGAAGAGCCACGGTCCTTCAGCGACTGGAGCTCTAGACCATGGAAGCGAGGTACACACATCCGTGTCAACAAGGAAGCGGAAATTTACATGGATTTGTAGTTTAGACAAATGAAAACATTTGTGTTTTTCTGGGTATTGTGCACACAGTGATTATGGCGATAACTGTTACGCTGTATACGTGTCCACATCCCGGTTACACAGTAAACACTTCTGTGCTTCAGCCTTTCAGGGTCCTTCCTCTTGCTGCATTAGGGAGTGGCACACTTACACACACGCGTCCCCTGTTTGAAGAGCTAGCGGTAAGAGAGCCCCGATACTCGCAGGGAATTCAGTCCAGCCCACTGGCTTTGAAACAAGGTACACTCTAGAATTTAGAAAGCGCATGTCATTATAAAATGCTTGAATTCTTCAGATGCTCACTGGACCAGCAGGA